CGATTTTAATAGTCATTTTTCTGCAATTAGTTTACTTATGGATTTTTTCCTATCTCAGTCGGGCCGAAAAGAGACTGTTCTGGATTTGGCAAAGTTCGTCGACAAGGGTGTGCAAGTCAAGCTGACCGGTGGAAGACAAGGTTGGAACTTTTTTTTTTCCTGTAAATTTACTTCATCTATTTGGATAGTTTATGGGTTTCGACTTAGGTTGTAGTATCTTCATCTTTAGTCTCTTATAAAATGTTTTTATTTTCATGAATTGTTAGTTTCTAGATGGGTAAGCTGTAACATAATAAATTTTGATGTCTACAAATGGCTTCATGAAGATTCTTGTTGTATTATATCATGTGTTAACCTTCTAAGCTTCTGATGAGACTAGAGAGATGTGTAAAGTTGTATTGTGTGAATGCTATAGTAGTGTAACTTTTATTCATCTTGCTAACTTTGCAAAGAAGGATTTGATTCAAGTGGTAGCTGCTGAGTTGGAAATTCTGCCTTTGATCCATATAGTTGAGTATAACTTAATCCCATGATCCATGAATTGTTGTTTCGAGGAGATTTATTGGATTTTGGAGAACTGACTACAACAGGACATGACATTTCATTCAAAATGCTATGTTGATCTTAAAATGACAGCTATTGATGTATTTAGTCAATGGTGTGGGCCTTTGATTGATTGTCCAATGTGGGACTCCTTTGAACAAGATTTCGAACTCTTAATGCAGTTACTGGTACACTGAAAGGATATGACCAATTGCTGAATCTAGTTCTGGATGAAGCCATTGAATTTCTTAGAGGTAAGTAACCTATCTATCATTGGTGGTCTCTCTTTAAAAATAGAAAATATTCTAACAATTGACTCATGTTTCATGTTATGCCTTGTGTATTGTGATATGCATTGGCCAAATTTTTGTATAATTACAAGGGTAAGGTCTGTGTACAACTGATCCCCCAGAACCCAACCTGTTGGGAATATACTGGGTATGTTGATGTTGATGATGTATTGGCCAAATTTTATATATTCAATTGGCTGATAGTTGCCCTCAGAAGTTGGAATAACTTTGTGAATAATATTCTCGGTGTTGTAGATCTCCTGTTTTACTATTCAAGTAGAAATAACTTCTGCATTTATTCACATATGAAGCATAAATAACTGAGTTGAACTTATACTCTATCTATCTGCAGATCCAGAAGACCCCCTGAAGACTACTGATCAGACTCGTCGCCTTGGCTTAATAGTATGTCTCGACACTCTCTGGGCATAATTGCAAATCTTATTTGTGCATATTTTCAAAGAATATGATTGGCCCTTCATTATCCTTGATTCGGTTGTATGTTTTTGGATTTACTTGAATCAATGTGATCATCTTTAAAAGGTCTATCGTTATATTTTTTTAGTTACTTGATCATCTTTAAAAAATTACTGATTATCTGCATATACATGTAGCGAATCATCTCTGTTTTATTTATGTTACTTGATCTCATGTTCTGGCTCATCTTAATTTTAAAGGACATGTGGAATTGATGTATGTACGCCTTTTATTTATTTATTTATTCTTATTTATTTACTTGTGAATCTGATTGCAGGTTTGTCGAGGAACGGCTGTGATGCTTGTTTCCCCAACTGATGGGACAGAAGAAATTGCTAATCCATTCCTTCAGTCTGATGGGGCATAACATAATATATATATCTCCCGTTTAATTAGTTCCCTACTTTTCTGGGGACATTGTTCTGAATCACGTCAATGTCTCTCTCTCCCTTTCGACTCGGTCTTTATAATGTTGTCGGGGAAGAAAAATTTAGTCGATCTTTGGTTTATATTTATGGCGAAAAGAGTTTTGGTGAAGATTGTAGTTGTAATTGACCCAATATTTCTCGTTATTGATTTTATCTCGATCTTTGGTTTATATTTATTGATTGTAGTTGTTCTGAATCACGTCAATGTCTCTCTCTCCCTTTCGACTCGGTCTTTATAATGTTGTCGTATGTTTGTGTAGCATGATCATATATGATATTATGTAAGAACTAAAAATATTATATCCACACTTCGAGAATGAAGTTCTTTCCATGAGAAACTATCTATTACGGTATAGGAAAATATCATAGCATGCGTTAGTTCATGAAGATTACCAGTAATGATTTAAAGATAAAAATAATGAAAAAATTAGGGAAAAAAAAACAATTACATATAAAATTTATTTTCTACCCACACTCTCCCTCAAATTTCACCCAGTTACAGAAACACGATTCTCTGGCGCAGAGAAGGTCTTTCAAAATCATCGCAGGGGCTCAACGACGTCGTTCCAGCCCGCCTTTATTATTTATTTATTTTTCTCAACCTTTTTAATTCAAATTTTGACTATTTTCGCGGCCTTGACCACCGGATTCTCCCTCGCGATCGCCTCCCGGCCGGCGGACTTGTAGTCATAGCTGCAGTCGTGGCGGTCCGAGTACCGGTGGCTCGCGCAAAACACCTCCCCGCAGCGGCACCTGAATCCGGCCAGCCCGATCTTCCTCCGGCAGCCGGAGCAGCGGCTCACCTTCCTCCTCGCCGCCGCCGCCTCCTCCTTCCCCGGATCGCCGCTAGTCTGAGGTAGATCCGAGGTCCTCTCCGGCGAGGACCGCGCGTTCGAGCCGGATCTGAGCGATCTCTCCGCGGAGTCGCGCCTCCTCGCCTCTGCCGTCGAATTGAAGCATTTCTGGCAGAGGCTGCTGGCGGCGGGGGCGTATCTGCCGGCGACGCCGCAGCTGACGCACAGCGCGATGTTCTCCGGTACGATCTTGAGCTCCGGCTCCTCGTTCTCCGCTCTCTGCGCCATTTTTTCGTTTTCGATCATATCCAATTAGGTGCGGGGAAATGGGGGGAAATTATTGAAAGGGAGAGAGATAGATGGGAAAATGGTGAGGGTTACAGAGATAAGGTGGGCAGGGAATTGGGATTTAAAGGTCGTCGAGGTCGGTCATGGCGAAGAAAGAATGGCCTCTTGTGGACGCAAATGGGGCAAGTGGGTCGGTTTTAGTCTTTTAGATGAGTCCGAAATTAATGTATGCTCTTGATTTCGACTGCGTTAGTTGAAGCTTGGTTTTATTAAAAAAAATGTATAATTTTATTTAATTATAATAGTTAAAGTTCGACTTGTTAACATTGATAAATCATTAGAGCATAAGCTCTTTTATCAACTCAAATCAAGAGCTTGAGGGAGAGCTTTGCTGCCCTTGTGGTCCTACTCGGCTCGATTTCGGATTAGTCGGTTTCCCTGTGGATCCGTTAACCGGAAGGTCCTTGTACCAAAAAAAAAAAAAAAGTTTGATTAAATTAGTTTATCGCCCAAACGTTTTTCCTTTTTTCTTTCTCTGTTAATATGTTATAAGATATTGAAGGTGCTTGATATTTTATGAAATTGGCATTCTATTTTTATGAATTAGTCTTTTAAGTTATAAATTGTAGGCATTATGCAGTGAACTGATGACATGCCACTCTTTTTTGAGATATTTTACGTTGTATTCTTGCAATGATATTAAAAAAAATAAAACAAAACAAAACAAAAATAAAAAACTTGTATTTTTTAGAGATTATATTCATATTTTCAAGTGACGACTCTAAATTAAGATTTTTTTATATCGGTTTTAAAATAAAAGTTTAGAAATTCAAAATCCTAAGTTATGTAGTGCAATATTTATCGAAATAGTTCTAATTTCTATTATATTGTTTTATTTTTTCGTATTTAACATTTAAAGTAAAGAATAAAAACCTCAGATATAGTGGTTAGAATTAAATTGAAGTAAAATTTAATTAAAACATACTTAAAATAATTATGACTTCTTTTATTAAATTTTTGTTGTTTTTTTAGAGTATTCATTTTATTATTTTAACATTTATATTGAGATATTTACATTAAACACTTGTAAGAAATACTTATTAAATGTTACTTTTGAAGTCATCAAATATTATAATAATTTTAGAATCAATCGTCCATTTTATTATATGCAAATATATACATAATATTTATATAGAAAGATTTTTATACCCAAATAACTTGTGTAGTACGCAACGTTATTTACGTTACGCGATCTAAAGACCACAACGCGACGTATTTTGCTATTTGCATTTTAAAACACGAGTTATAATTGAGACTTCACATCTTTTTTTTTTCAACTTTATTTTCTTTAAGATGTCTTGTTTTACTTGAATAAGTTTCTAAGGTTGTGAATTATATTCCTCGTGATGTGATTTTACAATGAGTATTGATCTAGTGGTGATTGTCTTATTGATAACTAGTAGTCAATTATGTACACATGCTCTAATATAAATAAAATATTATACATTATATGTATGTAAATATAATATTTAAAATTGTAAGTTAGAAAATGATGATATCGCATTTTAAATTTTTTGATAATTAGTAACAATAAACAATATAAATATAAATTCATAACTTACATATGAATCACTCTATTTATGACGTAAATTGTAACGAATAATATACTTTTATAATATTGATAGATCGTGACCATCTAACTGAATATTTTAAATACGAGTATTATTATTATTGTTGTTATTATATGGTGAACAGGGGCATAGCAAAAAAAAATACCATGGGCTGATCAATTTTTTTAATTTAAATTATGCGCCAAAATTTATAAAGAAAAAATACAAAGTAAGTTTTAATTAACAAATGCATATAAAATACTTCATGTTCATTGCAACTATTTAAAAAAAGATAAAAAAAAATGTTACATATTTAAGATGCCCCTCCGATTTTTCATACTATAAAACTCGTCAATTATTGAATCTGTGTTGATCTTCGAAGTAAACTCATGTAGACAATCATAGAATCCACTAAGGAAGTATTCTTCCATCTTATTTCGAAGAGGAGTTTTGGGAAGTTTCATAGCTGAAAATGATCGTTCGGTTGTTGCAATAGAAATGGAGAGCGTCAAAATGAGGCGAATCAATCTGTCAATTAATTGATAATGTTTTGCCTTTTCTGTCTCTACCAACCGCCGACATAAATCAGAAATGGTAGAAATGTTTTGAAACATCTCATTTTGGACAACATCAAACTTATAATGTTCTAACTGACCACTCAAATAATGTAGCTCTTAACCACTAAAATCATTTGGTTAGAATTTCTCGACAAGAATATAAATATCATCACAATTGAACAACTTAAAGTTATCTCAAGGCTCCAATGCAGAGCTAAGCCATAGAAAGTTCTGCAACCCCATCATTAAATCTACTATGAAGCTCTTTCAATTGAAAATCTATCGTGACATTGAATACATCATAGTGATAATGATGTTCATGTCGTGGGAAACTTGTGCTGGCAAGAACGCTTTCTAGAAGATCGATGACAAGCATCAAGCACTCATATTCGGTGGCTCAATACCATTTTTTTAACAAAAAGATTGCGCGTACGCGAGAAGGGTATCAAAGTCTTCTTCTCTAATAGTACAAAGCAAAGATTTTGTAGTTGACACAAAATTCATTGCATTTAAAATATCCAAAGACTTTTCTTGCAAAGTTTTTTTCTTTCCTTTGTGAACATCTATTTAAAAAATCAACCCAAAAACATCAACCAACAAATAATATTAGTAACATATTTCAAATGTAGACTTTGCAATACATTTTTTTTTTGAAACGATAAAAATATTATTATAAATCAAAAAGCAACAAAAAGACTTTGCAATACATTTATTTTTTATATTTTTTATTTTAATTTCAAACTGAAGAATATTTAAAATTCATTTCCTACTCTATTGGTACACATTTTAGAAAGAATGAAACATCCCGACAAATCAAAATAATAATAAAATCCTCGAATTTCACTTACAATTCATAAACGAAAAATCCTCAAATTTTCTCAAACATCCTCTACAAATCATTTACCAACAATTCATAAACGTAAAATAAGAAAAAAAAAAAA